CTTATTGCTGTGACACTATAAAGCACATTTACCAACCGTGGGATTGCATGGCTGGATGCTCAGCAAGTCGTATACTAAAGCATCCCGCTGAGCAGTCTTTAAGCTCGAAAATGCCAGCTTGACAAGTGGATTGCGAACATAGCTCTCTGTGAGCTGCTCCTTTGAAATCATCCGTTTAATAATATTCGTGCCTTTCACAGGATTGTCCGGAGGAAGACCAAAGGGATCTTCTATAGGGAGCACATAATCAGTTTTTCCGGCTCTGGAATATGCCTCTGAAGGTATTTTGATATCTTGACATCTTGGCTTGCAGACCGCTGATGCAAGTGCGTCGCTTAGCGAGTCTGGTGACCCTCGCACCATAAAGTCGACAACGTGGTGCAGGCAAGAATCCGAGATTCTGAGGTGTCAGCAAAAATGCACTTGATCCGTTTTAGTCACAATCGCTAAATTTCCTGAGATTCTGCGTAGCAAGCTCATCACAGCAATATATTAATTGTTGTGAGAAGGAAGTGTGGATCAGGCGAGCAATACTTTGCTGCAATTGCTGCACCGCTAGGTATGATAGTGCTGATAATCATTTCGACAGTCATTAAAGGGCTGGAAACCGTACTTCCTGACCGAAACACACTCTTAAGCTGCCCTTAATTGGCAGTCCGGAATCAGAAGCTACCTGTACCATCTTATCCTTAACCCTTAGACTACGACTTTTTTAGAAACAAGTTATCGATGAGTTATGTGTAGTAACAGTCGCTCCTAGCAACAACTAATCTTCTGTAGAAATTTGGCTGACGCGCGCTGGGTTTGAGCTGGGATTCGATCCAGAGACCATATGCGCGGCAGTGGCCCCTCCTGTCACCACACCATCTCCGCTCGAATGAGCATTTTCGAACAGTTCAAATACCATTCAACAAATACACATTTATCACATCTCATTCGTGGAACAAGGCAATGTCCGGTTGGGAACGCACTTGAAAAGAATTGCAAGCCGCACTTTGTAGAAGTGCTGCTCCCCTGCCTACAGGCTGCGCCCACCGGCTGCTTCTCCTCTAACGAATTTTCGCTGGTTTTTATGCTCGAAAGCTGCGTCATCATAGGAGTGTTCTACTACCACTTCCGCATCAAACGAACTGACAAAACTCCGGAGGTTGGAATTTCCAACGCAGTCGTAAAACGCTGTCGTCCTCTAACTGGCTTGCGGCCGATAAAAACCTCCATCCGTCATCGGTTTGCTTATGTTTCACCTGTTTCACAATAATTGAGGGAAATATTAGAACCTTAACACAATACAAAGAGTGTGAGACTCGAAAACTACCTTTTCGGGAGCTGTGCACACTGCCCAGTGACCTGTGGAACGACTTGCTTATCAACTTATCCAGCGTAACTCGCTTAGACTTCTGATACTTCGCTGACAGAGTAAGAATTACCAAGTTTCTAGTTGTGCACAATTCCGCCATAAAGCGGGCCCTTCGATCTCAATAAGTGCCAAAACTGTGGTAGTGACTTTGACTACGAAGTGGGACACATGTGTACCACCAGTAGTCAAAGATTAACTTACGCAGGATGACTCGCTTTAGCTTCTGACGACGACTAACTGTCATAGTAGGAATTAGAAAGCTTCTATATGTGCACAGTTCAGCCATCAAATGAGCCCTCCTGCCTCAATATTCCCTGGAACTGTGGTAGTGTCTTTGACTACGAAGTGGGACACATGTGTACCACCAGTAGTCAAAGATTAACTTACGCAGGATGACTCGCTTTAGCTTCTGACGACTAATTGTCATAGTAGGAATTAGAAAGCTTCTATATGTGCACAATTTAGCCATCAAATGAGCGCTCCTGCCTCAATATTTCCTGAAACTGTGGTAGTGTCTTTGACTACCAAGTGGGACACATGTGTCCCACCAGTAGTCAAAGGGTTAAAATGTTTGAACGGCCTACTGCTCTGGCTAGAAAGCAGTTTATGTTAAGGTAATCAGGAAAGTGTAGTCAAAGGTCCCAACCTTTTGCCGGCATGCCCTGTCGAAAACGCGCGGTTGCCAAGCACAGATTAACTTACCCGTGGAGCATTGGCACCAGGATAATTTTGCGAGTAGGAAACAACAGTGGGTGGCAAAAAGGCATCTCATCCCAAGGGTTCAACTTTCCATGGGTAAAGTATGTATATACTTGAAGATCTTTTTGCATCCATAGTCAAGCTCGTGCATAAAAACTTACGCATTTTCGCGAAAATGATTCTGACTTCATTTCTAGAAGTCTACCACGAGTACCTTAATGCCGTGACTTCTGGAACGACTTAACTGCGTTTCGCCATTGATTCTAGTGCACGCTTAATTCAGATTCACTCATAGTCATGGACTGAAATCGGATGAATGGATAAATATCAGACGCAAGAGCCGACTCTGTCACAGATTGCCAAACCTGGAGAGACAATGTCAGCTGACAAAAACAGCGAGCAGCAGCCTTCAGTTCTTTTTCTTTTCGGAACGAGCTATGATTTCCCAGTTTTCACGGAACGACGTCATTTTCTGTTGTCGAGTATGCTCGTAAGCAACAGATCCTCACTTTTCAAGAAGTCAAGCATTAGCCTACCAGTTAATTCTCTCTGTGATTGCCACGGACGACGCTCTCCATAAGATAAATTGTAAGCGTTAGCATCAAAGTTCTGACACATACTGGAGCTCACATGAGACGGCTTTACCACTGAGGATGTTAGGACATCAACGTTGTCAGGGAGCTTGGAGTTTTGAATAAACAAAACATCCGAAAAGTCCTGATAGCATAGCTGACGGTCATTCCATCTCTGGTGTGTCACAGAGAAGACAAGATGCGGTGCTGCAGTTGGTTTTAAGACGACTTCTGGCCAGCGACGGAAACGCTCATAGTGGCTCCTGCAGAGGACATACCCAAAGGTCGACAGCACCTTCTTCACCAGAGGAAACTTAATATCCGTCACTTTCCGTCTATACAGTGCAACTGTTCTAAAGTTTCGTGTACATTTATGGTGGGAAAGCCACCGATTTCAGCTAATACTACCAACTCAATGGCAATAGAGGAATGTTACCTTCGATGATGGCACTTGACAAGGACTCAGATACTCACGTGCCACGGTGAGCGACGTAGAGGTTCATCCAAAAAGAAATCTACAAAATCGAATGTGAAGTACGACGACTAGTCGAAAATACTGGATAGACGAAGCAGCAATAGGCAACACCACCGCACACGAGCAATTCAATGGAACGGTGGAATGATCGTCCAAGGAACTTCTCCACCTTAGGCTCAGGGAAGAACTTTTCTCCCCTGTTTCTAGGCCGGGGTCTGTTGGCCGACGGCGGGCATCTGCTGACTGCTATTGACAAAAGAGAACATGTTAGAGCCTGTAACATATACGGCGGCTCTCACTCAGCAAATTAAGACATGTCAAGAACCTTGACGTATTCTGAAAAAATCTGACCTATTTCCTGCCCTACCTCTTTTTTCTTTTTTTCCACATCCAGAAAAAGGGGCGCCACAAGATATCGGGCTTCTCCTAGGACTAAGCCTCGAGGGGTGGGCAAGAGCTACGAAAAATACGAAAATCACTCACTCGCTCTGGAGTCTCCCCTTCCCCCGCCAAGGCTTAGTCCCTTTTCTAAAAAACAATCGTTTGACGCGGTTTTACTTCAGTGCGTTGTCGTCGTATACACGCATCTCTTGCCATAGGGCCTTATTTTGTTGAGAGTACTTTTCTTTGAAGCTTTAGATGAATTTTGGATCTTTACATGTTCTGTTTTGTTTGCTGTTAGAAGGCGTTGCACTTTTTAACATGTTTTGTTTCGTTAGCAGATTGCGTCAGCAGATGCATCGCCGTCGGCAGGGTCAACCCTACGTTGTTACGAGTAACAACGGGGGGGGGTCGTACTCAGTTGAGCTTGGAGGGGGGGGTCGTACTCTCGGTGGCCGGCAGTGGGATTCTTGGTGATATCCTACTGAGCATGGATAGT